TCCCCATTGTACTTTGAAAGTTTTATCCAAGCATTTAATAAATTTAGCTTCACTATTCATCAATTTGTTTTTTTAGTCTTAACAATGAATATGAGTATTTTTTTGTGCAACTGTCACATTAATAGGGCATACAGTGCATGTCTAAATAGTTTTTAGTTTGAAATAGCACGAAAGACTAAAGCAGCAAACATTATGCATTGATTCCTGGTTTCTCTATATTTGTATGTACACGTAGTTGATCAGCTGGAAACTTTGCATGAGCCTTTTGCATTTTACCATCTGTGGGTGCAATTTCACATTAAACCTGCCTGGGTGGTGCATGAAACACATGAACATAACCGAGAATATTTTAGATATATTTTCCAGGATTTTTAGCCTCCTTTGGCTTATTTTATTTGTGCAACAAACGCCTACATTTCCATCTGCAACAGTGTGAAATTACAGACCATTTGAGGTGCTCTAAAAAGAAAGGTAAGGTACTGCACTCTGAAGGTCATATTTCTTGATTAGCTCTCAAAGACAAGTTCTTTTTTTATCGGGAAGATAAAAATGTACAAAGTAGTGGAATCGGCACAGGCAGTTGATCTATGGGGGATCATTATCTGATCTGCAGGTTGAAATGAATGTTATCAGGAACTAAACTTTGTACATGTCTCTCTCCTCGTCACTTCAATTGTATTACACGATTAAAAAAAAATAAGGGCAGATGTTGGTCATTAAAGAATTTTGTATGGGATATTTGGGACTTTGGGATTCTGAAGGAACTCCTGCTTCCTGGGTTAGTTTCTTATGTTTTGGGCAAACTAAGTCTCAATTACATTAGGCTTGGTGGCATTTCTGACAGTGTTTCTGACCTAAAAAAATAAATATTGAAAAGCAACCAGAATAACAGGCAAATCTGCTTTTATCCCAGCTGTACTATACTCAAAAAAGACATTAGCCTCTCTGTGATCGATTGCACTCATGATGCTTTTAAGTTAAAGCTTGGTTTATGTTGTTCCTCGACATTATATTAGTTTATATACAGTTGTGTGCAAACGTTTGTGGTGCCAAATTATGTTTTGTTGATTTTCTAAGCGAACAGGACGTCTGCAGCGAACAAACTTAAACTCTGCATATTTCTGCAGATTTTAATGCACAGTTACTATTGCTGAATTTAACAGATTGAAAAATATAAAACCGTAACTGTGGCATTTGCAAACGTTTGGGCGCCCTATCAGTCAGTACTTAGTAACGTCTCCTGTGGCAGGAATCACAGCCTCCAAACGTTTCTTGCAGCCAGCTAGCAGTCTTTCTTTTCTAGTCATCGCCTGACTTAGATTAAAGCCTAACGAGTCAATTACGTTCGGAGATCTTCCCAAAAAAAAAAAACACTAGTGGATCAACTGGATCCATTGTACCAAACTTTTGCACATGCCACATTTACCTTTTTATTTTTTTCAGGCTGTTAAATTCAGCAAATAAAGAGGAACTGTGCATTACAAGTTGCAGAAATATGTCTTATTAAGTTTAAGGTTGTTCGCTGCAGAGGTTGTGTTCACTTCCCTTCATTTAGAAAATCAACAAAACATGCAATTTGGCCAGGGGCGCCTGAGCTTTTGCATACAACTGTAGCTCAGTTAAAGTCAAAACAGGCAAACTGTGCATCACCTAGTTCTGCTGTTATTACTACCACTTGCAACAATACCTTGGGTTTATATCACATCCTACAGAAGGAGCATTCAAGGCAGTTAATATAACTGGCTCCTGTTCTCACATTAAGATTCAGTGAAAAGTAGTGCATTCCTTGAGGCTCTTTATCTTTATACATTGTGGGCAAAGCTTGAAAATAAAACCTAAGTAATTTATAATTGGAACAGATAAACATAAACTCTTTAATTGTACACAGACTTCTGTGATTAAAGCTGTTTTACACTTAAAGAAATGTAGTTGTCAGTGCTTTTAAGCACTTGAAGACTTTGAAAATGTCTAATAAACAAGCAGGTTACCCAATTTTACATTTCCACACCGTGAATGTTAAGGTTAGGTAATTCCACATAGGCTGGGTCAATACTCTGACCCTAACTGGTCCTCGCAGACTGAAGTTGTAAGAAGGTGTTTCTTCGCTGAATGAAAGTTTTGTGTTTGGTAGTACGGCATCGCCCTCTAGTGTTAGGAATGGTTTTAAAAGTTTCCAAATTATTTTGAAATCGGGATTTATGCTTCTTCTACCTAGTAACAATATGAAATTATAAATAACTCATGAAAAACAAATAAACATTTTCAGATATTTCAGATACCCTCCCCGCCCCTTTTTGTGTTTCCTGTGTAGGAAAATAACGCAAGAATAAAAACGACATTGCAACAGGTAGCTGGAGACGATGCAGGTGTGTACAGTAAATAAAATAGATTATTCAAACCTGAATCTTGGCTGGATAGCACAAAAGTGGAGCAAATGCTATTTCATCCGATCAAAAAGCTTTGCAACTCGTCCAATTTACTGTACGCGTTCAAATTTCCTCAAATATGGTATTAAGTAGTGTAAGCAGAGGAAGAGAGATATGCAAGCCCAGGAAGAAAGTAGCTTTTGTGTGTTTTTATTTAAACACCAGAAATACAAAAAAGAAGACAACATATTGAAATAGATACAGAAATAGTCACTTCACAGCCAGAGGAATTCACAATTGTACGAACTAAAAAATGATACCTTTTACATATTTCCATTGTATGTCTTGCCTTTTGATTCTCTAAATTTCTAATAGAATTAAAATAAAGAAGGAATTAAAAGCATGAATAGAGGGAGCAGTATTAGACCATTTACTTCTGGGGATAAAGTATTCAGCCAAAATAATGAACAGATCAATGATAAAAACATAGCCTTTATCCCAATCAGATCTAACAAACTATAAAACAATATCAAAATCTTTCAATTTAAAATTTACCTTTAAATGTTGAACAATAACATTTTGCAGATCTATCCAAAACAGTTTTGTATATATGTAGTTAACTAACAAATGTAACAGGGATTCCTTCTCATTATTACAAAATACACATAAGTCATCTTGTTCATGTTTAAATCTAGAAAATGTCAATTTAACGGGATAAAACCTATGAACGATCTTAAATGAAATTTCTTTAACTTTATTTGTACGACAGTATTTATCAGCAATTGTCCAAACGAATTTCCAATTTATATACCTAAACACAGTGAGAGCTTTTGTGTGTCTTGATAGAAACAAGCACTCCAGTGACGTGTCGGGCAGAGTTCAGTTCCGGAAGCTGGCTAATTCTGGGGGCCGAGACCGGATGTGAAGTTCTGATTGGATCTCTCTGAAAGGCAGGGTTGCTCTGCTCTATAAATTCAGCAGCAGCTGTGGTTGCCGAGGGAAAACAAGAGGAGAGAGAGCTTAGATGAGGAAATGGAGTACAGGGTCTAGTGTGTCCATATATAAAACTCTTGAGCGTAGACTCTTAAACACAGCGCAAGAATCGTCTGGGTCTTTTAATTAGACCAGAATTGCTGTGCTCTGATCCTTAAGAGCTAATATCCTGCTACATTAACAGCCAGGAACAGCTGCTCAGTCATGGTGAAACAGCTGTTCCTGGATGCTAACTTTGACTTCAAATGTTGCAGAATCAGATTTATATTTAGACTTCCCCGCACCACCGTGAACAGATAAGTGGTGATGCTGTATCGGAAGTTGTTGTGATGTATCGACGTTTTGAAATGAATATAAATCATTTTGTTTCAGGACAAAGGAACCTCACGCGGCCCGGCTTTTGTCCGAAAGGTTCCAAAACAGGTGACGTTTTAAAATCAATGAAACAAAAACACCCTTTTCTCTCAGTCTTTTATTTGGACACTGCAGATCAAAGAATCCCATCTTCTCCCAACTGCTCTCAGTTTGCTTCGTGACAGATGTTGCCTCTGTCGTTTCAGGCAACGACAATTCTGTCGTGCTCTGCTGCACTGCCGAGCTACAACTGCAGAGTCTCGGTCTAGTAGAGACAAGTCTAGGCAGCGCTCAAACGCGGTGTGGAGAAGACTTGAGGGTAATATTTGAACCTGCGCCGTCAGATCAGAATGTCCCGGTTGTCACGTAGCTTTTATTTCAACACAAGCTTCATGTGTGCAGACGCCAGTGACCGCCTATAGCCAACCCGGTTCTGGAGTGGCGCAATTGCGCAAGTTCCATGTCCAGCCTGATATGGTCAGTAAAAGGATAACTCCTCTTAAGCAACTGATTTGTGAGAGGAAACCGTTTCGAGATTACAAGATTAATAATTGTTATTAATTCCGTTTGCTTTTTCCATTCCCCTGACTGCCGATTTCACTTTCCCTGTAGCACACGTCATTTGGAATTTGGGAATGTTTTTTGCTTTAGAACGCGACTGTATTCTTCCGTTTTTACTATTTTTTACACTGCAGGACCGGTGTGTCTGTGTTACATACTCTAGGAATAAACAGGTATTGTGACACGTCACATGCGGCAGTCCCTCGGCCAAAAATGGTGTTTTTGGTTAAAGGATGCGTGCTTTTAGTACAAAACGTCCGTTTGGCATTTTCTGTTCACCCTTTTCCGTTGGCTCGGATGCATTTATCCGAAGGGGAAAGTAAGTAGGAGTTGAAGCTGAATACGAAATAAAATGTGGATCAGTTCAAAACGTGCAGGAAGTATAAACTCTAATTTGACAACGGGTTTGAGCTGTGCGCAGAATGCGAACTAGCGATCCACAAATTAGTGGTTAATTATTAATAAACCTCTACTGGCACAGAAGTATTCGTAATCGGCACAATAGGAAACTTCCAATGTTACTAAAAGACTAAATCGGACTATTTTACAGTTAAACAAATGGAATCAGTCATACTTTCAGACACCCTTGCAAACCACAACTTGATATCTGCCCGCATTTCATTTATCCACTGAAAAGCGCCTCCCGCGTGTTCCTGCAGCTTTGTAATTAGTTAAATTGTGACAATGTGTGTATCTACGCCTTTCCACTGATGTATCGGAATTGGTTTCAGTGTGGAGAGCTCTCCTGTCGGCGGAAATAACGTCTGCTTGCTACTGCTGCTCTCTATGTCGCCGCATGGAGTCCTGACATACACAGATAGCCATTTTAACGGGACGCTACTGTGTTGCTTTCTTTTATACTTTTGTGGCGTGTTCTTCGCTTGCGACACGTTGTGTGAATGTAGAAGCGATCGCCAAGAGGAAGAAAGTAAGTTGGCGGGGGAGGGAGACAGTGTCATACAGCTATATGTAAAGACTTCAATTTCGCATAAACTTCGCCAAGTCAGTGAAACTGGAGACTTCTCCGCCTGTTTCAAGACCGAATGGCACCGCTGCACCTGAATGACGGTTATGCATGTATTTCTGGAGCGGATTTCCAGTGCTCTGCTGTCCTTAGGATGGTGGATGCCTATCCGATGTTGTCTGGATCTGTTGTTTTGCACGTGGCGTGTGTAATTTTGTTAATGACGTCTCCTGACGGTGGGATCCGCAGTGAAGACTAAAGCAATACCGGCAAATAAGAATAAAATATCTCGGGGTTGTGTATTGGCGCAAGTGTTTTTTTTATTATCGTTTATTAGTATTTATTTTATGCAGTGTTGCACTTAAAGGTCCACTGTAAAATCATCTGTCAGTACTGTACCTTATACGGGCTACCCTGTTCAGACGTGTCCGCTTATGACGGGTTTTTAACTTCAATCTGACATTAACCGGAGAGAATACTTTTGTGTTGTTGTCAAACGTGGGAAAAGAGAACCGAGCACGGGGAATTTTTGTCTAGCTCCCTAAAAATCACGTCGACACGACCAACGACTACATAGGCTCGTTTGTGGTCGTCATATTTTTGATGATACTTTGTGAATGTCCATTATTGCATTTCATGATCGTTCTATCCAGTCCACTTTTGATCGGAAACTAAGGCATTGCCCAGCAGTTACGGACGTCTTGGACAATCGAACAGGGTCTGCAAATATTGGACCGATCCCTGTTCCTTTTCGCTTTAACTCCTTTTCAATACCTGGATCACAACCTTTCTTTGACCAGTTAACAGGCACTGATTGCCATAGTTTTGTTAAATATGTACACCTGAAAGATATTGCATGTAGCCATGACAAGAAGCCACCTGTGCTTCCTAACTTCCTCATGCAGCATTGTACATGCCTGTATTAACGAAGTGATAAGTTACACTACAATAGCTGGGCTAATGATGTTCTGGAAACCCCTGAACAAATTCTTTACATTTGCCCATGCAAATAAATGGGCAATGGGCAATAAATGGGAATTTTTCATCATTCACGTATTATTTTATGCACTAGCGATCTCAGCTTTGCTTTCTGAGTGAGACTAAAGGCGATTTCCCATCGTTAAGCAAGCATGATCAATTTCTGTTTTTGTGATCGTGTATAAACGGTGCCAGCTTGGCGTGCCTGAGAGGTACCACGTCGTGTTGTGCTCAGAGGTCCGAAAGCTGCTGCTGACCTGACCCTTGACCCCTTGACCCCCTGACCCCCTGACCTCTGACGGCCTCTTGTCTTGTGTTCTAGTATAAGAAGTGTCCATGGCCTTTCTGGCAACAGCAGTGAGGAGGGCTGCCGCCTACAGGCCTTCCCTCCTGTCTCTGTGCCCCCCCGTCACGCGCTGCTACAGCAGCCCAGGAGAGAAGCCGACCGAGAAGAACGTCCCTTACGAAAAAACCCTGAAACAGGAAGGGGGCGCAGCCAGCGGGCCCACCAGAGCCCTGCCCGAGTCTGCAGATGCTGTTGTGATCGGAGGAGGCAGCTTGGGGTGCCAGACCGTGTACCACCTGGCGAAAATGGGCATGACCAACGTGGTGCTCCTGGAACGCGACCGCCTCACGGCGGGCACCACTTGGCACACGGCGGGTAAGAGCTGGCACCCTGTTCTCAAGTGCGCGCCGGCCGTTACTTCAAGGGGAACTGCAGTCCCGATTTCTCTGACCGGTTGTCAAGTCTTGGTAACAAAATAGTCATTGATGGTCTAGGATGTTGTCGTTTTTTTTTAGGCCTTCTGAATCAAGCAGAAGATCATGAACTTTGTGAAAGTCCTGGAAGCCGCCATGTTGGCCCAAACCCCTGGTCTCGCCACTAGCGCGAGCTCCCACGCATTGTGCCCTTCCCGCTCACTAGTCACTGTAATGACTGATGTACTGTGATGCGCGAGCGAATAAGTACAGGTTGTGCAGCAGACGTTCCGCCCCAGAAATGTTCCAACACGATCTGCTTGCAAAGTTAATAAGCAAGTCCCATTTATCGGCAAAATCGTCTCAAGGTCGAGAGCAATAGTTCTGTTGGATTAAACGAGATGTATTCACAAGCCTGCTTGTTTACAGCGTCATGGGGCTGCTTCACCTCACTGGAAGTTTGGTTGCCTCGTTCTGAATCGCAGAACATGGCGCTGTGCATATCTGGAAATTTTAATCTATTTGTGGTGGAAATGGGAGGTTTTACAAGTTACTGTGCGCATTTGACTTTCATTGCGGTTTTAAAATTTCCCACGGATTGCCCTCATCAGTGCCGGTTCTTTCTAACCTCGGAATGTAAAGACGGCATTGCAGTTCCCCTTTAAGAGGCAGCTGGGTGTCAGTGACGGGGAGAATGTGGAGGGGTGGGCTGTGCACTGACTGCGGAGGGTCCCTCTGTGCAGGCCTGCTCTGGCAGCTGCGGCCCAGCGACGTGGAGGTGGAGCTCCTGGCCCACACCCGGCAGGTGGTGAGCTGCGACCTGGAGCGGGAGACCGGCCTTCACACCGGCTGGATCCAGAACGGAGGCCTCTTCATCGCCTCCAGCAAGCAGAGGCTGGACGAGTACAGGCGGCTCATGTCGGTACGGATGCTCCCACCGAGAATCGCCTTCGCCCGGTGCGGAATGGTGGGACCGGAAGGGAGGAGGAGGACCGGCAAATGTGCTCTTCTGCCGCGCCCACCATTCAGACACGCTCGCCTTTTCACATGTACAAGCTCCGTGGGGCCATACAGGAGAGTTAGCACTGATTGGAGGAGGGGTGCGTCTCTCACTGTCTCGCTGCAAGGAGCCCGATTGCTGATTGGGGACTTCTGGTCACATGACCCAGATTCTAACCAGCAGTTTCCTGCTTCTGCTTCTTGATACTCCCAATTCCAACTGTGCTCTTGGTTTTGCAGTGTAACCCACAGATGATCTAGCCCTTTGCCCGTTAGGTCTGTTTTTCCGGCTTCCCATTAACATCTGGAAGCAGCGGCAGGTGAAAACATTTGGAGAGGTCTAATTAAGCATGTTGTATTAATCCGTTAAGATTTTGACAGCTCAGTGGGACACACTGAAGGTACTTGTGGTCATAACAGTGGTTTAATTTAATATTGAAGAAAAGAAACGCAACATTTCGGCTGTGGAGCCTTCTTCAGCTTGGCACCCGAAGAACTCTCCACAGCCGAAACGTTTCTTTTCTTCTCTTTTCAGCATGGGATAAACCTTTACTTGTTCTTTTGCAGCGTGCCGACGCGGTTACCTACTCTGAACTGCTTCATTTAATATTGTTCTTCTTGGTAAAAGGTAGAGAAACACTGGACACAAACTGAAGGCACCTCTACGTTTGTTGTCGCAGTCATAAAGATCTTGTAATTAACAGTGGCGTTTTCCTATAAATTGCTCTGTGTTACACGGACGGACATTACAATTGCTGGGAGCAGACAAAAGCAGTTGGCCAGTCAGGCGGGCAAGTCTAGTGTGTTAGATTCTGCCTTGGAACTAGAGGGATTCAAAGTGTTTTTTTTCCCCCAAGATCAGAGTGTCTCAAGTGTTATCACCTGTGCTTCTGCCCACTGAGCCCCTGTGTTGGGTGGGTGCGGTGTTACTTTTGTATTTCCAGCTGGGGAAAGTGTACGGCATCGAATCTCATGTCCTGTCCCCTGCCGAGACCAAGGACCTGTATCCCCTGATGAACGTGGATGACCTATACGGCACGCTGTATGTTCCCAAAGATGGCACCATGGACCCAGCAGGCACCTGTACCACCCTGACCAGGGCAGCCAGCGCCAGGGGCGCATTAGTGAGCCTTTTTTTTTTTGCTTACCCTGCACAGTTTAACCCCCTTTCGAGTGTCTGAAGTCTCCTTCTTTCCTGTTCCTTGTACTTTCTCCTCGAATGCCATCGTCTGCTGTCTTGCGATGTTGTTGGTTCTGTGTTCTGGTTCAATGCTGTTAGCCAAGCTGAAATCCAGTCCACCTCTGTGTTTGCCCGTGCAAAGCCAGGACTCGCCCATTTGCACAATTGATGATTCTGTTGGTGTCTGTTTAAAGGGATCAATAGGCATCTTTTTGATCAGACCAAAAAAGGAGAGGGAGCATGTGGAACAGTTGTCGCCCAGGCTGTGAGATGGTCAGTCTCTGGTGGTTCCTTCTTTAATCAGTATCTGTGCTGATGAGCACAACTGCCCTTCGATGTTTTGTGCCATCAAGCACACAATAACCTTTTCTTTAAAGTCATGGTGATTGCACACAGCAGACAAGAGAACAGACCAAATATAGATGATCAATTTGAGAAATAGTCTGGGTAATTACAGAAAGGCTTTAGCCATTGGCAGTGTAGTGTGATCCTCAGAGCCATTGGCTTCTAACTAGCAAATGAGCAAGATGGAGTAATAAAAGACCATGTTGTTAGTAACTGTTCTCATGAAGCTTTTAAATATTATATCCTTATGTCATCAGTGCCACTGGTGGTGTATTAAAAATCTTTGGAACCAGTAATCCAGTAATCAGGAATCAGTCATAGAGAGACCCACAGAAAGAGGTACAGTACACACCAATAATAATCATTAGGAACGAAAAAGCCTCATTCCACCGAAATTATTCATCTTTTTGTTCTGAAGTTGTTTTTGGCACTCATCCCTGAAATCTGCACAGTGCAATAACCAGCAGGGAAAACCCATTTTTTAATAGTGCCCAAAGTGTTTGGGGGAAATTGAGTGTTTCTTGTGTGTGCAATATCAAAATACAGACAGGCCCCCAAAACATCTTCAGTGATCAGGTAAAAATGGCAACTGCTCCCTCTGTCTATCCCCTCTAAGCTCTATTTTACTCCAAACTCCCTAGACTCTATTTATCCCTCAGCTAACCTCTCACATTGGAGACATAGAGGTATTTCCAAAAATTGCTGTGATTTTCTCGCGTAGCAAGGCAGGTAACTGCAGAATGAGAACCGGCTTTCACAGGCACTGGTAAGCAGGGAGGTTCACATGGGCGAGGGTGTTGAAGGTATGATGTTCCCCCTCCCTTCCTCACTGAATATACCACACTGCTCTGAATGATTGTGGCCAGTGCTGTCCTTGTCCTGCTGGTCACAGGTGATCGAGAACTGCCCGGTGACGGGAATCCAGGTAGAGACGGACGATCTTGGGTGGAGGAAGGTGAAAGCTGTGGAGACGCCTCATGGGACTATCAGCACTCCCTGTGTTGTCAACTGTGCAGGTAAGAATCGCCCATTCTTGTATGATTTGCCTCTGCGTTCTGTAGGTTAATGACCGAAATGTACTGAATAGGCTGTGTAGTTGTACTGTGCAGCGCATCCTTGATCTGATTAATCCCGGCCTCAGCAGGAGTTATAATCATTCCTCTTTCATTTTATTGACACAATGCCTTGTGCTTTTTTGGAGCTCTTATCTGTATTCATTCTGTTCTGAAGTCTCTTGTGTGCTGTTCTTTTATAAGAAATCTATATCTTTCTGTCATTGGTTTGTGTAACTATTAGATCTCTTTACATGCATCTTCAGGCTGTTTTAGCTCTGATGGGTATGGGTGTGCGTTTGTTTTTTTTGCAGATTTAGCAGTTTTTAGACAAATGCTTGATTGCTCATCTCTGAAGCAGTGCTCCAAAAGCCTGACTTGTCGGGCATTTTAAAGAAAACAAATTCCTAATCTTGGTTTAACAAATATTCTAGGGTGGAGCGCACCTCGTGAGTCTTTTTCAGGGCTTTCAGAAAGGTGTGAGGTCAGCGCTCAAATGATGTGCCTCAGAGGTTTGAAGGTGAACATTTTAAAACTAGTTCAAGTCGTATAAAATCCACAATTTTTTTCACAGTTGTTTACACTGGTCATCTCTCGATGAAAGAAAGGAGATAGTTTTAGACCTGGACTGAGCTGGAAGATTTATTTCATGCTTTCCAGGTGAACTGGATCTCTAACAAAAGCAGAGTAGAATTATCAATTTCTTAATTTCCTATACATTTCACAAGTAGGAGGCAACTCTACACTTTGGACCAGAATGTCTAAAAACTATTGGCCCAGTATAGTGAGAGGGACAACTGCTGTAGAATGTACTGCTCTTTGAATGAGATATTAAGCTGAGTTTCTGGCTCCTCGCTCATTAAAAATTCCATGGCAGTATTTGTAGATTCAGGGTGGTTAACCCTGGTGTTCGGGCTAAAGTCCACTCTGGGTTTGAGCAATCTGACCTCCCCTGAGTTTTGTCTCTGTTCACCTAGAGAAGCGGTTTGTTAAGACTCCCCCTGGCTGCTGTCCAGTGGGATTGCAGAATGGCCGCTGTGTGTCTCCATGGTGGGGGCTGCACCTCACTAGTGGAGGAAATGGGTCCCCATTTATTGTTAATCTAAAATGCTTTGGGATACATTGGGATGAAGTTTCCTATATAAATGCAAGATTTGTTTCCATCATTCTTAACTGTATTTCATGATCGCATTTGGCAACTGCGGGTGAAAATGATTGTGGCTATTTCAGAAATTAATGGACAGGACACCAAAATCGCATTGTTGATGGGTGAGATGGTTTCTTTTTCCTCTGCTCATTTTGAAAAGGCCTTTTAAGAGCAGGACTTTCTGCAGTACTCACTGGTAGGAGTCTCTCTGGGCCACAAGGTGGCAGACTGAACCAGCTGTTCAGTTGCTCTCTAAAGAGCATCAAGCGCAAGCAGAACACATTACAGCCCTGCTTTCCATTGCTCGTTCAGGCAGAAAGGTCCCGTTGTTGAGGAGAGGTTTTGAAATAAATGAGATAGATTTGCCCCCTGAGAGGGGGATAAGCAGATTTATTCTAGGGGTGCATTTTCAGAGACGTGGAGCATTTTCCCCCACATGTGCCTCTGTCTTGTGGACCTGATGTGGATGAACCCTATGACTGTATGTGTGCCAGGCTGGTACAGTGCCAGTTGTTAGAGCTCAGTGCGTCTTTGTTGCGGGCTGGGAGCTTCACCCCTTCTCTGCAGGAGGCAAAGCATCAGCATAATAAGAATGGGTTACAGTTATATAGCACTTTTCTGGACACTCCACTCAAAGCCCTTTATAGGTGATGGGGAATCCCACTACCAACACCAGTGCGCAGCCCCACCTGGATGATGGGATGCCAGTCAGCTCCCCCCACACACCAGCTCTCAGTGGGGAGGAGAGCAGAGTGATGGAGCCAGTTCAGAGATGGGGGATTAGTAGGAGGCCATGATTGGTAAATGCCAGTCGGAAATTTGGCCGGGGGGTGGGGGGTTGACACCCATGGGGTGACCCCTTGTCCCCTTGATTTCCGCAGGGGTCTGGGCGCGGAAGCTGGGCGGCATGGCGGGGGTGAACGTGCCTCTGGTCGCCATGCATCACGCCTACGTGGTGACCGAGAGGATCGAGGGGATTCAGGTAACCGGAGCTCGGAGATCCTTTTACATTTTGTGCTAAAATTCCGCAAGCGTCAGCCGGTGCTTACAGCTCGTCTTGCAGGGTCACCCTGTCTTTTGGTTTTCGTTCCGTCTTGCAACCTTAAGAACTTGATCTGCATCATCTGTTCATTTCATTGTCCACTGTTTCTGGTCTACGTATTATAAATGACCTAGAAAATGTGGTGAATTGCAGCACTTCATGACCAGCAGTGATCTACTGCTATAATAATAATAATAATAATAATTGCTTACACTTATGTAGCACTTTTTCTGGACACTCCACTCAAAGCGCTTTACAGGTAATGGGGAATCCCACTGCCACCACCAATGTGCAGCATCCACCTATAGTCGGTTATGAAAGATTTTACGTATTGCACAGGGCAGTGATGTGTCAGAGCTGCAGTTTCTTTTTTGTTCTGCGGCATGCAGTCTTTTTTTTGTGTTAAATTTTGTCTTGGTCCCATTTTTAGCGTGGCCCTGAAGTTAGTATTCATATCCAGATCACGGCTGAAATCTGAAATGCATGGATGTATGAGGAGTGGACCAAGAGCGGCAGTAAATGTCGAATTTATTCTACTTGAGATCGGAACTTTGGTCTCTGTAGTCTTCTGATTAATTGATCAACAATGGTTAGAGCTTAATGTTTGAACTTCAGTGGCATTGAAAATGTCTATATTACTGTACAGTTTTTAGTAACTGTCTTTTATTTTACAAGGAGCTTAATGTCATTACATCATGTGCATATCTGCTGTTTATTTACTTGTCTGTAAATACAGACAAGTAAAATCTGTAAAATCTGTTGGCCTCAATAGGACTGTCTCTGCCAAGCCCTCTCTCATGCTGTCGGGTGCCAAAGGACTTCTGTGCCCTTGGCAGCCTTCTGCTGGGCTTTTTCTGAGAGTTTCACCCTGGATCTTATTCTAAAGACAGCTGTGATTGAGGGGATCGTGAAATTGCAGTTGCTGATCCATTATGTAAACCCCATTTTTTTTCAGCCTCTTTTTTTGGGGTACAAACTGATTACACAACCTTTCCTAGGAAGTGCAGTCAGACTGTGTTCTCCCAGTGGATGGTACTGTATGCTCTGCTGTTCCTCCTTTTGCAATTGGCAAAGGCGATCATTTCTGTTTTCAGGTGCAATGCCTACCGCGAGACGCAGCTGTGCACATTGTTAGCGCGAAGAGTTATGTACCAGCAGGGGGCAGTCTGCCATCGCATTGAAGTGGGTGGCATACAGATCTAGAATCTACAGCTTCATAGGAGACGTGTACCGAGCTGTGTGGGAGAGAGTCTTTTGTGCTGATTCTGTTTATGGATGGTTGCTTGTCAAGATCAGTGCTCTAAAGGGGATTTTTTTAAATCTTGTCCACTGTTGTTAGGTTGAAAGTGAGTGTGTTTTTTAGATGATTGTTTTCCTACCAGCCCCCAGCAGATCGGAATGAAACCAGGTTAGAAAATCTTCGAGCATGTGGACAGCCAGTGCCCTCATAGCTCTGGTCGTGTTGCACTGTAATGGATGAAGCGTGAGGCTACATGCAGAGCCCTTCTAAAAACCACATGCTCCATTAACTCTGTAAATGCCAGAATTTCACTCAGTCCTGCGTTATCGGAGCCGAATCAAGAACACTTTATCTGGCGAGCGGGGCTGAGTGATGCATATTGGCTTGGATCGCCTTTGATTTCTTGATCTGTGAAACCTGACTGATAGAAAATGCTTGGTTTCTTTTTAGTTTTGGTTTGCCTTGAAGCAGGTTTGTCGTATAGCTGGACGATCCTCAATGAAGCAGCTGCTACAAGTTCTTCGGGTTTTCATACCACCCAAGCTTTTAATGAGTTAATTTAAACAAGAATATATATTAATTTCAAGCTTTTAGTCATTTTGGGCACTTGGGTTCACTTTAAAACCATACAGGCCTGTGGTTCCAATAGCAGGTTATGGTAAGCCAGCTTAAGGGGCTGCAATTGCAACCTGCATGTCACTAGAGGCTGCTAAAGGGCATCTAATTGTTGTAAAAACACACACTGGGTGTTAATTTTTGCATTAGATTTTTGGTGATGGGTGTTGAATGCACATTCATAAAGCTTCCTGCACCTACTTTGATGTTTTTATTTGCACGAATTCCTGAAACTGCCCTAGGTAAAGGGTTATTGTGGGGTTGCTTAAAAACTGTCTCTCATACCAGTAAGAGATGCCTAAATCCTTGTTGGAGGACCTGTATGTTTAGTGTTAGCATCTTAAGAATTCACAAAACCTTTTAATCTATCATGTGATATTTTGTGGATCTTCATTGTATCCCAAGTTCCAATTTGATTTTCATTATTTTAAGGGCTCCTTTCTAATCAAAACAGACCTGCCTGTAACAATCTGGTATCGAGTTATGCGTTCTCCATGCTACATGCTTTTGGGATGGTAGATCAGGTGTAATCAAACACCAAGTGATTCTTTTTAAATAAAACCCAGGTAGTAGTAGGCTGAAGCTAAGAATAAGCTTCTTTACGTTGTGAAATGCTGTGCTGCTGTGGATGGAAATCTAAGGAAGGTTATAACTGGGGAAAAAAATCTTTTTAAGGTGATGCATGACTTTCACCAGCTCAGATGCAAAACCAGTCTTATGTAGAAACGCTCTTAACACCCCTTGTTCCCAGACTCTTATCCTTCTGCAGCCATTCCAGTTTTCTTTCCTGTTAGCTGCTTATTCGTATTGTGACTTTTAGTGGCAAAGTGATAATACAAGTCAATCGGCTGCAATTAAAAATCCTTGTCTGCGATTGCAGTAATTACTCGCCCCTAATCAACCTCGTTTGACACCTCCAAATAATCGGATTAACTTCTTACCGTCTGTCCTCAGCATTGGCATACTGCACACCTGAAACCTTTGTCTGAAGTGAGCGCACGTCTCTGAGACCCTCACATTGTAATACGTCTTAAATTGTGACATTAAATTTGTGCAATGTTTGAAGCTTACATCCAGTGAATTCCCATAGTGAATTGTGGTCGGTTATTGCTATCAGAGATCATAATCTTTCAGGCCCAGCAAATATGTATTTTTTTCTGCTCTCTCCACAGAACATGCCCAATGTCCGGGACCATGATGCATCTGTGTACCTCCGTCTCCAAGGCGATGCTCTCTCTGTTGGAGGTTACGAACCAGATCCTATCTTCTGGAATGAGGCAAGTTGGAGTGTGTGACCCTCTCTGCCCAGAATCAGAAGCATTAAATTACATTAAATTTCAATGTTAGGGAGGTCCCATATGTGGCTTTACAATTTAATTGCAAGCAATGCTTGGTTAAAAAAATTCTCCTCTCATCCAGCTGGTTTGACTCTGCTACCGGTTTATATTAGAAAAAACTCCAGCAAAACCTTCAGCACATTATCGTCCTTAGTGTGTCTTCCACCTAGGAGCCAAAACTGCACTAGACAGCCAGTTCTGATCGGTTATGACAGAGCAGGCAGGCCTTAAAAAATTAAGAACTCTGTGGGCACTTGAAGCTGTCAGATCCAGTTGAAAGCAGTGGAATCTTTAGCGTCTGGTACCGAGAAAGCCTTTCTAAGTAGAGATTGATTTTACTTGTGCGTTCAACACCTACAGCCCATTTCGGCATCGCGTGATTTAACCTGAAAAGGCAGCCCTTAAAGAAAAAGAAAATCACTGTAGCAAAATAAAACATGCTGCGTATTTATCCCGCTCTCTGTGAAAGCTACAGCAAAATTGCTCGATCGAAGGCCTGTTATGTGACGGGTAAATAACACTGAAACTCTCCTCTTATGCCAGTTTTTGTGCGCTGAAAGCAGTGCAAAGGGCAGAAATGCGATGTGAGATCATATGCTTTATTTGAGAAAAGTAATTTTGAGAAACGTTCATCTGAAAAGTGCTGGACAAATAAATCCTGAATTAGCGCCAAGTTATCCAGGCAAAATGCACTGACAGATGGTGAACATTGTGAAATCTATGGTAAACATGTTTTAAAGAGCAGGTTTGAAAATGGAGACCCAAAACTGCTACTCTCGGGCTATATTCAACAGCAGACAGGCTGGGCAGAGAGTAACTGCAGAGGGAGGTGTGTAATTGATCAGGTCAGCAGTAAAAGGGGGAAAGATCCGCACTAATATTTTAAACTAGCGGTTCCCATTCCTGGTTTTGGGAACTTCCACACCTGCTGGGTTTTGTTCATCCCGAGCCTTGAAATAATTGAACTCTTAACAGACCTAAACCAGATAATTGATGGTTCAACTACTTAAAATGAATTGAATTGTTTCATTTGAACTTTTTAATTTCTTCCAGTCCCTAAACACACAGGAGGTCGACTTTGAACTATTGAGGTTTGTGAGTAACTTAAAATCTCCGAACCTTTGAGTAGGAAAAAATACCCAAGGCGCTAACCAAGGAACTTGTTTCAGTTTAGGGTTCATTGTCTAGGCAGCTGAGCTCTTTACGTAAAAAAACCAGGTGTGGGGGTCCCCAGTCCTGTTACTGTGTTAACGAATCGGCATGGCAAAGCAATCGCACAACAGTGTTGAATACTCCAGGGTTTGGGCAATCGCAGCAAAGCAAGGCGCCCATATTAAGAAACCTTCACAAATACCTGAAAAAAGACTTGAGTAACGTTCAATAATGACTTGCACTCAGGTTCCCTGAAACCTGCTCTTCAAGTCACTCAATCTGGGTCTACCAACGTAGCTGGTGTTTGTGAGACCATCACAGCCGGGGTTCATAGGACAGATGGAGCCGGTTCTCTAACAGTGATACAGTGGAGGATTAGACACAGAACCCGCCAATCTGATCCTGTCTGCTCTACAGGATCCTACACCCGATCATGACAGCACACAGCATGGTTTTTGGGGTTCGCTATGGTGACCCCCAGCCTGCACTCCCAAGTGGCAGAATTGGGGTATTGAGTCATCATGGATGCTCACGACTGTCGGTCTCGTCCTGAGGTCTGGATGGAGGCTTTCTCCCGATGAGCTAGTTTTCATCTTTCAAATCTCTTCCAAAGGCCTTGTGGGATTGCGTTCATTTTGATCAGACTTTTCACCCTGGATAAAGATGAATCAATAGCTGGAAAAAAAAAATGAGGCAAAAGTATCTTTGAACTTGCATAGTAAGAGCCCTCTAGACTGATTACCTACAGAAGGTCAAGCCTCACAATTAAACATTTTATCTCCACACTCAACAGTATCCATACAAGTTGTAATTTTTTATGCATTCAGGATTTTACTGGCATAACTGTCAACAGCCGCAGAATATCTAATGGGATTTATTGAACTGCCACTTGTCTGAAACTTCAGTTGCACCGGTCCAATGTAGGCCAAAACTGTCAGGGAGAGCAGAAAAGCAGTTCAAGGAGTCTGTTAGCATCACTCATGTGAAGTGACATCTCAGGATTCTAATGGCTGAGGTGTTGGAGATAAGGCTTTGAATGAATGAAGTGGGGGGGAGCATGTATCGTGTAGTTTGCCAAGGGCACACTTAAACCTAAAACAAATGAATCGGTAAAACTTGGTAAGAAACATCCCATCCTCACCCATCGTATTTCGTTATCGCCCCTGATGATCCATTTCAGGACAGGAAGGCAAAGGATCTGTGGTAGCACTGTGTTTGCATGTAAAACTCCATTCATTACAGAATCCTGGCAGTTCGCCTGTTTCTTGGATCGAGGCAGAAAGGCTGTGACTCTTAATTCACAGGTGAAGGGTTGTTGTTATGGGTGAAGCAGCAATTTTGAGGGCTCGGGTCACTTGACTGTAGGAAACATGCATTTCCAGCTCTCTGCATTTAACATGAAACTTCTTCCAGTCTCAAAATAGCCGACATTAAAGATGCGTAGGATTAAAAAGTTTACTTTTGTTCTGGGATGGCCTTCCTGAGGGGGAATGATTGACTGGTTTGATGGGGGTGGGGAGGGAAACACTGGTCTGTCAGCCAGAAGGTGTGAGACTCCCTGGTTTCCAGTCCGAAACGTAGTGTCACTTGAGGGTGTGCTTACTGGGTTAGCTAGGGCACTGATCTGAAAGCACATCAGGCCAGCTAAACTTGGAAGAAGGATGTCACAGAAATATTGCTCTGTTCACGTACTGAACTGTTGACTTGCAGGTGTCAGATAAATTTGCCTTCAGCTTGTTCGATCTGGACTGGGACGTCTTCATGCAGCACATCGAAGGAGCCATCAACCGCATTCCTGCCTTGGAGAGTACTGGGATCAAATCGACGGTGTGCGGACCAGGTACGAGAGAGCCCAGCGGGGTGGGGTGGGGGGGTGTATTTCTTCTTTCTGTTCCTCGGGGGGTTGTTTTGAAAGTCGTCCATTTTTTTTAGATTGCTCGTCCTCGGATAGTTTTATCTAAAAAAAAAAAAGTGCCTGTCACAGCTGGATCGTCGCAGCCTGTCACAGATAAATCTTCTGCGCTGAGTACTAGCCTGGAAGTGTGAAAGGTTGTACAGTAGGTAAAAAATTAAGTTATATACAGTACCAGCGTAGGTAATAAGTTGTTGTGGGTGTGATTGTCAGATTTGGATCTGCAACAAACCATTGTCGGCAGATGAATTTAAGATTTAATCATAAATATTTTCACCTTTACAAAATGCCTTTAAAAAAGAAATGTACAGTATATAAGTACCCAGTGTGCTGTATACATTATTTTACTTATTGGATAGGGTAAATGATCTTAATGTGTATTTTGAAAATAGGTACCTAAAAGACCTCAAAAACAGTCCATAAACCACTAAAATTTGTAAATATTAAGTATAATTTATACATTTATAAGTATATAAATATAAACATATTCCACTTTAGAACCACAGCCCATCTACATTCATATTTTACTTTGTTTTTCAGGGTACTTCAGTTATTTTTTTTACAGTCTGACTGTAAAATAATTAAAGAGTTCCCCCCCCCCCTATCGCTCACATGGTGTTTTCTGAAATGTGCTGTATCGCTACCTTCTTGATAGGCATGACAGACCTGACGTTAAGTAACAACTTGATTGATGTCGGTTTTCTTTCTGGAGTCGCCTTGAATTGGTCATTTTTAGTGTTCGAGAGGTTTTAATATTTAATCTGAGCAACTGCTTGCTGAACAACAATCTGTGTGCTTTGCATGCGTGTTCTTGCTAGCTGATACAAATGTATGTATATAGTACAGTCAGGACTTGGGCTGGTCAAAGCCTTTTTCTAGTTAATAATAATTCCCTACACTTATATAGAGCTTTTCTGGACACTCCACTCTTTACAGGTCATGGGGATCCCACTACCGCCACCAGTGTGCAGCCCCACCTGGATGATGCGCCAGTCCGCTCCCCACACACCAGCTCTCAGTGGGGAGTGATGGAGCCAGTTCAGAGATGGGAGTTATTAGGAGGCTGTGATGGGTAAAGGCCAATGGCAAATTTGTCCAGTACACTGGGGTAACAACCCTACTCTTTTCGAGAAACGCCCCGGGATTGTTAATGACCACAGTGAGACAGGACCTCGGTTTAATATCTCATCCGAAGGACGGCACCTTTTTTTTACAGCACAGTGTCCCAGTCACTATACTGGGGCATTAGGACCCATACAGACCGGATGAGCGCCCCCTACTGGTCCCACTCACACCTCTGCCAGCAGCAACCTTCGTTTTTTCCCAGGTCTCTCATCCAGGTACTGACCAGGCTCACACCTGCTGAGCTTTAGTGGGATTGGCAGTTGTGCAGGGGGATACGGCTGCTGGCTGGTTTTATTCAGCACAGGCCTCTAGTGCAATACCTGCGATGTACAGTATTGTTTCAAAGGCCGTGTAGTTTGGTGTGTTTACTTCTTAGAGACGAAAGCAATTTCTCACAGGTCTCGGTGTCTCCCCTACCTTGACAAGCTGTGTCCCTAGTGGTGGCGGATGCTTTTTCCAGCTGCTCTAGTGATAAAGCGGAGCGCACAAATTCTTCCTAAATTTGCGTTTGACACATCCTAAAGGGCTTTCGAATGAAACGGCTTCTTACCTCATTGAACCGACACTTATTAAATTACTGTCTGTGCCCAGGACAGCGAAGCCCAGTGTTTCCAGACTTTTTCTCATAGCGGAGGGAATTTTCCTGTTTGTAGGAACCGCTCTTTGACATTAAGTAGTGCTGACATTCTCTTTAGCCAAGAGTTATTTTTTAGCAGTGAAGATTTAATTACATGTTTGACTTTTATTGTGGACTGAACTGTAACATAGACTGTGTACATACTGTATATATATAGTATTTGCTTACATATGAGTTTGATACTTTTTACAGTGCAGAATGCTAAGCCTACTAAATTTGATATGCATCTTAGCAAATTGTTAGAATTTTGATGGAGGTCATATGGTAATAGCCTGTATTTTGTTTAACAATTTCTTACATTATACAAATAAAAAATGTTAAAGTCAGGATATTGGCTTCAAAAACGTGGGTGGATAGCTTGTTCCCTGCTCCCACCACCCATTGTGTAAAGTAGAGCTTTATATCCTGATTGGAGGATCTCCTCGAGCTGCTTCATTAAAGAAGCCAGGATATTGACTACAACAACGCAGCTGTGTACCTTGTTCCAGACTCTGATGGATGTCTTTCTGTTCACAGTTTGTGTTTACTTAGCTGAGTGATGTCTGAAATACCAGTGTTCATAGCATTAAAATGAGCAGACTAAGGGGCCTTAAAGATCAAAGGCTAGTGAAACACTACAGGATATCAGTATCTCAAGACACCACTGAGAAACAACCCTAAACATCATTGATATCAGTGCTACAGTGTCGTTTGCATATTTAACGAATTACTGGTTCTGTCTAGCTGCTCTTAACATCAATATAGCCAAGAATCCTCTTTAAAAAAATTAGAAAGGGGGGAAAAAGCTGCAAACAGAAGCTGCTGTTTAACACTTTTGTTTCATTCAAGAATGTTTTAGTGGTTCTTACTCACTCCCCAATACTTTTAGCAAGTAACGTGTGACATGACATTGGTCAGCGCCAAATCACTCTGCAACTCACAACTGGCAGCCCACTGAAG